TATCTACCAAGTCGAGTGGTTTATTCTACAAGCATTAGGTTTGGATTTCATCCCATCCTTTTATGCAACAGCATTTCACACTTCGCAGGAACGATGCGCATGCGAGAAACTGCGTCAGAATTACTTAAGCTATTTCAAATGACTTGTACATTTGAAGAATCTGAACCAAGGATGTAATATCTTCCTCATGCTTGGTGTCTGAGTGAAGTCCCCGGTAACATTTACATCAATAAACTTTCGGAGGCGAGCGAGAATTTTCTAGCATATTTGGACGTGGTGAACTCGGTCGAAAGCTTATTGTCCATTTAAAATCACTCACAGGAGCACAGCGAAGGGACGGTCACTTCAGTCACAGTATTTGTACACTGCTTCCTTGTTTCAGAAAGACAGCCTATATCAATGCATAGGGAACCCAGAGTACGAGCGAGAGCCACGTGTTGCCTTGGTTGCTCCAATGTGCGAACAGTAAAGGCGGCTAAAAAAACGGGCTTTCGGGGTTTGAAAAGAGACTTGAAGTGCTTAGGACTGCCACTGAAGTCGGACGTACAGAAACTGCGGCTGAGTGTGATGCAAGGCGGGTGAAACGGTCAGTACTGGTGCTGAGACCCGCGGAGAAAGTAACCAAGTTGGGTAGGGGAGGTTGGAAGAGGGAAGACATGAAAGTGTAAGAAGGGGGGTGTCAGCAATAGCGTGTATTCGCTTATCCGCCCTGCTGTACGCAACAAGTAAGGCGAACCGACTGATGGCACAACGCGACGGCCTATATGACATCGGTATTGTTGGCTGTGGGTGGGGATACTACCAGGGCGCCCACACGTGGACAGGGGACAACTGGGGTCCTCGACCAAAGCCCTCGGCTCAAAAGCCTAACCACAATGCAGCGGTGTTGGGCTACAAATGCAAGTAAACTATCACTTTTATAGAACACGCACCATTTGTTTCAACCCCTAACCTGGGAGACCAGGAGACTTTTGGTCAGACCTCTAACAATTCACCAACCTAGTATGAGAGGCGCTATGGGTGTCGCACGGATACCCCTGGTATATCTCATTGGGTTGCCGAAGTACTCAAATCACAACATCACGACAATTTCAGTCTCCTCTCGAATGATCAATCTTTCATCTGTAATACCCTTCAGGGGCATAGGTTCAATGCCACTAGACACAAGCACGAGGATGAAGAAACTGTCAAGAGGCCCAAACCTAGACTCTGGCGGTCAAGATTAAGAGGCCGAATTTGAACCACGGACCTTGCGTTAAGGGAATTTTTATCCTTACTCCTGAATCATCTGCTATCTCATTACATTTTGTTTGGTTTCTTGGGCTTCCTGGTAGGGTTTGTCTGCCTAGTTTTCTATGTGAGACCTTGTTCAGACGCCTATTTTCTGGACGGAATATTCCCTTTGTGGGCACCCCCAAGGAGCGGAGAGTGGCGCACCTATAGCCCAGCATGTAGGTTTTTGTTCGTGCAGTTCATTTGGCCTGTTGATCTGTTACCGCTTTCCCTTCGTGATCGTATGACCCCTCAGATCTTTTGCGATCCGCGTGCCCAGCTCAATGTACATGGGTTGTCCTGGTGCAGTGTTATCGGCTTTGGCTATCGAGGTCTTGAGTGGGGACTGGATTTACAATCCTACAAGCCACTTTTGATGGAGTGAAACTGGAGCCTCTAAGCTCCGAAATCCAACGTGCATTCACTTGACTAATCTCGCGCAATTGTCTTAACTGCAGCATTGGTTTCAGGTGCAAGCTCAAACGCTAGCTTCGTCCTGGTTAACTAGCCATCGATGATCAGGCTTTCGCAGTACCCGACGTCGAGGTCAACGCTTTCGGGTAATCTGGCAGTGGACTTCGCTGCCTGTACATGCACAGCTGAGCGAACCCAGGCTACAGTCTGTGACTTGGGTGCGTGGGTCACCACCGCGCCTTTATCACTCGCTAATGAAATAAGTGATAACAATCCTACATGTGTTGTACGCCCTAGGACAGATATGTCCTTGCGATGCATGCCTCATTCCGATCATCACTGTCGCTGGTACTCGACGGGTCTGCGACGGTTGAACATGAGCTGCATTTGAGAGCCACAATTGGTTAAATCGGCATACTTTTAAATGCACAAGAAGCCGCAACTACCATGGGGTCAGTTATAGGTTTGGGATCACCTATTGCCCCCCAAACACAAACTTGTTTCGGAACTCCCACCTAAGACCGCCAACCAGGGTAGCTGAAATCTTCACTTAAGTGAACTCAGTTGAATGCGCCGGAACGGTGGTATTTTTGTGCGTGGACTTTTCCGACAAAAAAGTCTCCCCTGATTAAGCGTTTCAGTGGTCATTTGGCGGCAGCTGTCCGTTTCGCTGAACGAAGTTTCCAAGCGGGCAAAAACCGACAAAACGTATGCAAACAGTGCATCAGGAGTGAAGAGCCGATCAGTATTCGCACAATGGAATTGGGGTCTTGAAACCTGCGACATTTACCAAGTTAGCGCATCATAGTGAAAAAATACGCCACTCACTATTCACGGATCGACGCTTTTGTCCAAGGTTCCCCGGTCAGTCGGCGGCTGTTACTCACCAAAAGTTCCAAGTCAAAAAAGCGTGTAGCACTGCTCTTTATGTACTCAGCGCCGGGCGGTATGCGCACTAGAGCGAGTACTCGCATAAATAATTATCTAATAATGCTTTGAACTAGGTTCTAGGTGAAGCGTGGACAACGGCTGAAGGAAAGTTATTTCACGCAGCTACTATCTGCAACGTTAAAAAATTGCCGAATGAAATTATGCGCTCTGTGCTTGAAAATCCCCCCACCGTATTCTCGCCGCGTATTTGCCGGGTCACCAGTGGAAAACTTGTTGGCCAAGCCTTGTTCACACTGGGCATAAGTGAGAATTTGGTGACTATTCTCCGTGGAAAAGAGGTCAAGCACCATGAGACTCTTTTCGTGGGCCACTGATCTGAGGCCGGCAACCATTTTCTTAGCGGCTGACTGGACACGTCCAGTGAGGGTGACGTCTCTCGTGCATCCTAGGGAAACAGCTTGTTTGGCGTCTGGAGTGCGCTCCATAGAGTATTCGAAAGCAACGTGAGTGATACGGGGGAGGATGCGTGGAATCATTCGTAAAATGGCGAATGCCTTTTGGGACGATTTCTCATTGAGCAGTTAGAAGGATAAGTTTGAAGAGAGTCAGATACACAAAGCTTTTTGGTGTCTATCTTCATGAATTTTTGGTCCTATCTCACTATGTATGATAAAGGCATTCGTTGAGTCACCTCAAAATGATATATGGATGCACATTTCGTCTTTCAGAGAAAGGTGCCAGACCACCGATTTGTAGCATCTACTTCCGTTTGGAGGGCACTGGCATTGGAACTCCAGGATTTCAAGTCGTCCGCAAAAAGTAGGCATGGAATTGCGAAAACATCCGGAAGGTCGTTGATGTAGATCAGAAACAGTAGTTTCCCAAAACGGCTCCTTGGGGAACCCGAATGGAGACCGGCGCTGGGGAGTAGTAGGTAGAACCTATCTCCACTCGGAGTGATCTGTCTGATACGAACATTCTGATCTTATGTAGGATTATCCCTTGAATCCCGTAAGGCTCGAGTTTGTAGAGCAGTGGGACGTGTGGGACCCGATCAAGTGCTCTTGAGAAGTCGAAATGTATGGCATCCAATATGAGTCCCTCGTCCTTTGCGTGGGTTAAGCTGTCCGTAAACACGTTTGTCACTTAAGAACAGTTTGGGAGAAATCCGCGTTGGGCTAGAGATATCAAGTTGTTGGAAGTAAGTTGATCTAAGATAACTTAGTTGAAAATGCATTCTGTCACCTAGCATGATGCCCCGGTGTGGCTTATAGTACCGGAGCCCCCCACCAGTTTTGTAGATTAGTGTGAAATCGCTTCCCTCCAAATTATTTCTGCCCAATCTATGGGGTTTTCCTAGTTGTGATTTTTACGTGCAGTTAGCCAACTCCATTTACACCTCTCAGTCACAAGTTGCTCACAGTATTTTGTATAAGTAAACGAAATTTCAAGATCATTGACCTTCCACGATTCGCATTTTGTTACCTGTTCACGCGAGATAAAACACGAAATCGCACTTTAGTATATCTTGGCGTTCTCCGGGGTCCGTTAGGAATATCTAGCGCAAGTTTCACCCTGAAAGATCTATCATTGACATTTGTTTGCCTTACTCTCCTCAAATTTAACTAATGAGATTATTTTGTCCATCGAGCCTAGACACAACACATTTCTCTATGGTGTTCAAATTCCACCATGTGCAACATTGTTAAACAACAGCATGAACTGTGCAGTGGACATTTGAGAGCCATCTCTGTGGACTATCCCCTTTCCCAGATAAGCATAACTAGCCTGCAGATAATACTGCGTCACGAGATAGCTGCAGCAAATTACCAACATAATGGTATCATTCCTGTTTGGAATATAACCTGCACAGGTTGCGTTGGCTTGACCACGTGCTGCGTATGCCAATCGACCGACTTTCTCGAAGGGCTCTTTTCGCCCAACCATGTGAAGGGTGGAAGAGAGCCAGAGGCGGGCCAATTGTTTTTCCACGATTGACCCGGCTGATACACGGCTTGGCCATTGTAGGAAGATTTTCAATCCCAGAGCGAACACTCATATCAGGCAACACTTTTTCTCATTTCTGGTAGTTGGTGCGTGGAGCAAACTTCCCCCAAGTTTGTTCACGCCGCAGCTGGCACCCAGTTCAAAGCAACTTTAAATGCCATGTAATGCGAGCCCTCGCGCTGAGAAATTAAAGAGCAGTACTACGCCTTCTTCCGCTTGCACTTCAGATGAACGGAATCCGCTGAGTGACGAAAACTAAACCGACGAAGGAAGCCCCGGTGAAAGCCTTGAACCCCTATGTATCCGTGGCTACCTGTATGCGACCATTGAACCCATTTCAAGGTCATTTGCTCGTTGGTAAATAGCGCCAAATCGTACACGATATACCCCAAATTCTTCCGCTGATCAGCTAACCTATGATACTGCCATTACTGGAACGTCCTATTACGCTGGGAATCTTCTTTATTAATGGATTGTTTATCGTATGTTGAGTTTTTCTCCAAACATTACGTCAGCTTTTCGGTGTTGCCCTTATTGCATTGGGGACGTTTGGAATTATCGATAGCGCAAACGAATCGGAGTTAACTGGATCAGCATTATATACATCTGGGCTCTACATGCTCATATTTTTCGGGTTGATTATTTTATTCCTAGCTGTTGGTGGTAACGTGGCTGCAGAAAAGGAAAATCGATGTCTTCTAGTTACAGTGGGTGCAGCAACTTTTTGTCCATTAATCCAAATAGTACTGTGTAGTAATATGCATAACAATATTCTTTCTATTTATATCCGGAACAATGGTTCTCGCTTTCAAAGACTCGGTAAGAATGAGCTCTTGAATTGTCATTTTTACCGAGAACCAGCTTGGACAGGGTGCAAAACAACTAATGGTTAGCAGCTTGAGAAACCAATACGGAAGATATAAAATAATCACTGACGCCTGGAACGCAACTCAAAGTCGTCTGCGGTGCTGCGGTGTTGAAGATCTTGGCTGGCAAGTTTACAATGATTCGTGGTGGGATGTTTTTGTCAACACGGATATATACGAAAGAAATACCAAATTATCAAGTACACCGGTGTTGCTTTAATCTCTTTAGGATCCAGTCCGTTTTATAAATTCGTACCTGCGTCATGTTGTGTAACTGTCATCGATGGGATTACCGGCTGGTCCACCAACAGGTACTTAGATCTCCATCGGTGTATGACATGGCAATACGGTCCACCAAGTTTCCCATCCGGACCTCACAATGATGCTATTTACTATGCGGTAAGTTGTCCGTTTATTGACGACCTCTGCAGGGATGTTTCAACAGACTTCGTGATTATGTGAATCAATACGGAAAAGCAATGGGTGCGTTAGCGCTGATAGCAACTATCCTTCTGGTAAGTCTCATTAAACTGATGACTAATAGAATCTGATGGTCCTTGACTAAGAGTTTTGTTCCAAATAAACATGAAAATTTGTTTCAAATGGTCACCTAATAGGAACACTCAGATTTCTCCATTTGGGTGGATGTATGAGAATGATTATTTGCACTTACGGTTGCTTCCTCGATGAGTAACCGACTTGACTAACAGTGTCTGAAACTAATAAGCTGTAACATTTCCAGCATAAAACCAATAACGGGGACTCTACCATACATCTCAACCGCACGTTATTGTCAAAGGGTATATTCTGTCGGTTCCGTAGGTAGACATATCATATTTGCGATTAAAACACGATGGAAAGATAGTCAAACTAAATCAAAAGTAGTATATAGGCTACTGCTATGCAACGACCAAGTCAGCGCTTTGGAACCGACAGGCTATACCCAAAAGGATTTCTTGGTGCATGTTTGGAGCGCGTTCATGAATCCCAATAGCACCCCACATCTTGGTAGGCTTGTTTCCAAAAATTGCTACCAACCTCTATCAAGCACCAAACGGCTGCTCACCGGTTTAGTGAGTGTTGTTGAACAAAAGCCCAGAAAAACTTTGGGTCTTAAATCACACATAGGAGTGGGAAATGCTTGGCTTTTAGAAGATTTATGGCAGGGTACAAAAAGTTCTAATGGCTTCCAGTGAATTGTGATGACTAGCCTGCCTCGAATTTGCTGTAAGAGTGACAGCAACATTTTGTTTCAGAATTTAAGGGGATTATGAAGTGATCAGAATTCTTCTCCTCCTTTTGTAGGTTATTGCGCTGGTCTTGGCCGTCATGCTACTTCGTGGATCGAGGTGGCCAAAAAGAATCAGACACACAAAGGGAGATCAAACATATGTAAATGTTACCTACTAAACATTCTGGTTACCGCTTGTGGTAGGACTTGTGAGTCCTACAAAATAAACAGTTTGTTAGGATTTCTCACAACTTCGATGCCCCTGAATGCATTCGGCATAAACACACTACCCGCTGGCGTACAGAAACTGTTTCAGTCGAATGAAAAGTAGCGGACTCTATGTACTGCACCATTGCAAATAAAAGCCCTACACTCAGCTAACGTCTTTGTGTTGATCTTATCCATATGGAGGGATCCAGAAGAAAATGAGGATTTTTCACGTATCTTCCAACTTTAAAATACGCACGTAGTTAGTAGCCGTGCGCACTATAATAACAGTTGCGTTAACGATATTTAAATCCATTCGCGACCCAGACACCACTACATTCTGCTGCAGCTCATATGGATGTTTGCCACTGCAGACTAAGTTGCCTGTTAGCCGTAGCATTGGCAAATACGCACGTAGTAGCCGTGCGCACTATAATAACAGTTGCGTTAACGATATTTAAATCCATTCGCGACCCAGACACCACTACATTCTGCCTGCTGTCATATGGATGTTTGCCACTGCAGACTAAGTTGCCTGTTAGCCGTAGCATTGGCACACGATGTGTCACACAAGCCTTCCGGTCATGTTTAATGCTCTAAGGGCTATATATATATATATATATATATATATATATATATATATATATATAAAAAAGCTGAAGTAAGA